GAGGGAAGGACAGAAAGAAATAAAGAAAGAAAGAAAGAAAGAAAGAAAGAGATAATGACGAATAAGAAAAAGCGAAGCCGTGACAAGAAGAAGATAACAAGAATGAAGACACGAACGACAAAAATAACTATAGTTTTGTCTTTTCATGTTTTTATTATATATATATATATTCTTGAAGCTTTCGCCCACCGGCTTCGCCGGCTCTACTGGTATTCGTGTGATTGTTCTTGTTTGTGTTGCAGTGTTGTTGGTATTGCTCTTGTTGCTGGCTGTTGAACTGTTGGTTCTTGTCGGCTGTGGTTGGTTGTTGTCGGTTTGCATCTTAGTTTTGTTGGCGTGTTCGTGTGTTGGCGCGCTGGCGTGTGTGTTTTGGTGTGCTGGCCCTCGGCTTCCAAAAAGCGCAGCCCAACTGCCCCAAGACGGGAACATCGATTCCTTGCTCAAAGGGAAGACCCAAGGGTAACGCTATATCGCAACCTGGTTTCCACTGGCCTTCTGAACTTTCTTTGGCAACTCTAGGACTCCCTAAACCCTGAAACCTAAGCATCCCTGAACATCCCTGAACATCCCTAAACATCCCTGAACCCCTAAACCCTCAACCCACCCAAAGAGCTTTCGCCCCAAAATCCGAAGCCCGTGGAATCTGGTTCCATATTCCCCCAACCTCCGCTGGCCGAGGCGGAGGGCCTGGCGGTGAAAAGGCGAACCGAGAAAAGCGGAAGCACAGGCCCGGTCGGAGAAAGCGCGCGGAGCTTGGTCTACGTGGCTCCCTCGTTTTTTTTTGTCTAGAAAGTTCGCAGTTCTCAGATTTGGATGTGATACCTTGGATGTGATATTTCCTTTTGGATGTGAATTTCCGTTTGCAACAAAACTTCTTCCAAACTAGCCAATACTAAACCAGCTCTACACAAGCGCAACTGTCCCCCCAACTCGAGGCGGAGAAGGGAACGGTTTCGAACGAATACTAAAAGGGTCGAGTTAAATTCACTGATTTTTCATATTTGGTTTGTGTTTGCTTTATTTACAGAATGTTCCGGCAAAATGCAGTCGTTTTTGCACCAGCACTGTGAACATCCCCGTTGCAGCATCCCTAGCATCTGTTTCAACCAGCAATACCAGTAGCTGCTAGGCTGGTTTAAGGGTTCAAGGTTGACTTCAAGTTTGAGCAGCGGTTTCTTTAGGGGTTTCTTTCGGGTGGGTTTAGGGTAGGTTTCGGTTGGTCTTGGGTTTGTATAGGTTGGCTTGGCTTGGCTGTGTTTTAGGCTAGGTCGGGTGGCTGGTTGAGGGTGGGTTTAGGGTGGGCGTTAGTACTTTGCTTAGGGTTCGGTTAGGGCGCTTGTATGTTCTTCTCTTGTCGGAAGTTCTTCTAAACTTTCGGGTTAGTTTGGGGTTGGTTTATAGAGTCGGTTTGGGCCCTAGCTGAGTTGAGGTGGGCTTGGGGCGCTTTAGGGTACATTTGAGGTGGTTTGGGCATGGTTTAGCACTGGTGTGGATGTTTGGGTGGTGGTTTGGGCTGGGTTTACGGGGGTTCAAGGCCGAAAAGACACAAGCAGAAGGGTGGGGTTAGGGCTGCTTTGTCTTTTAAGCTCCTCACAAAGCCGAACAGCCCTATCAAGAAGCCAGGGGGTGGCCCCCTCGTCATAAGAACCTGCTGTACCCTAATCATAATGTTCCGCCCGCAGGAAGATAGGAAAATACCGGGGGGGGGGGGACTTAACATGTTTCCTTTAGATCGGGTTTTCAGGGATACCAAAGTCAGAATGCCGGGAGCCAGGGTCAAACACAGGACGGTGAAGCAGGTAGCAGGGACCACTGAAGCATTGCAGGCCTCCCTTCGCTCCCGAAACAATGCTGCAAACAGAAACTTATTTGGTTGCTGCTGACCCCTCTCCAACCAGTTGTTCACTTTGTTGGCACGCTTTTTGTGGGTTCAAATCGAACACCCTTGATTCCCAAAAAGCTAAAGGCCGACAGATTCGTGTACAGTCAAGCTGAATGCCGCGTCACTAGGAACAACTTCCCCATGCCAAAAGGAAACCCACCAATCAATTCGAGGGGCACGATATTTTTACAAAGTCAATTGAGCTTTGGCGCAACGGGTCTGAAAGAAAGGGGGATGGCAGCGATGACAGAGATCTCCCAATCCCTTGGCGTCAGGATCTTTTGAATTCGGTCTATGGCTGGCGGCAGCCACTCCACTCGGAATTTGGTCACAAAAAAAGGTAAACTGATTCCCAAGCCACAGTGCCGCATTTGCGCCGCAGCGCGCAATCCTCTGTCCAATGCAATGCAAAGGGCAAGGCAAAGATTGCAGCGCTGCAATCAAATGCACCAAGGTCGTCCGGGTCAGCATTCTGCAGCGCCCAGAGGAAATAAATACACAAAAAACAAAAATGGAACGACATCTGATTTGTCTCACTTACCCTCCTGGTGGGTTCCACGTTGCCACGTGGGAGGGTTTACGGACGCATATGTCCATCGCAAGCTTTCAAGGAATCCCTCACGGGTCAGGAGCAATGCGAAGCACACAGCGGCCCTTGATCTTGCCCTTCGCCATGTCATCAAAAATGCCTTAGTTCAAATTTCTATTGGTTACCCAATGGACCGGCAACCATCGCAAAGATGGGGCATCTACATCCGGGGGTGGGCTTAATGCAAATATCAGCACTCTGCCTTGGTTGGTCCCTTGGGCTGCAAACAGATTGCATTTTGCAAGGGCGGCGATAGCAAATCCTCTCACCCCTGGGAGAGATAAGACATTTGCAAAGCCCTCAATCGCGAAGCTGTTTTACAAACCACTCTTTTCGGAACAGCGATGTTCCTGATTTTTGATCCGGTCAAAGAAACATTCTAGCCACCGAGATGCCGTTGATGTCCTCCAATTTCCTCTCCTCCACTGTGCACTTCACGTGACCTTCGCCGCAAATGGTCAGAGACTCGTTCAGGTCCTTGCGGGTGCCCACGATTGAGCCGCGGATCGTCTTCCGCTGGACGATCAGGGAGAAAATATCCTCAAGGGGAAAAACAAAAAAACACTCACCGACGATGTTTCCTTTGTGAACCCCCCGCCCCGGAAAAACATGTTTAAAAAAAAATAAAAATAACAAATAAAAATGTTGCACCACCCAATTGGGCCAAGGAAAAAATCCTGGACACTGTCTGACTAAACCAAGCGCAGTGAGAATTGGTTGGTTCAACCTCCTGTGGGTTCCAACTCAAGAAGGACAGATTTATGTGTCAAAATGAGACCCCCCCCAAAACAAGGCACCCGCCATTCATAGAAGGAACCGTTCGACGTTCGGGGGCTCCTGGTAAAGGGACCATTTTCCTTAAGGGACCATTTCCCTGTCAGGTTCCATGTGAAGAGGGTGGGAGGTACTTGACATGAAGCCATTCCTCCCAAGAAAAGCAGTGAATTGGTGGGAGGGAAGATGACATGAACCCAACCCCCCGCAAAAAAAGGAGGAAAAAACAAAAACAGACCCACCCACCCCCCCCAGAACACACACACACACACACATCCGACACAATAATAACAAAACCTGCTGGTGCTCAGTAGAAATGGAATGCCCCCTATGAACCATCCCACTGGTTTCCTTCGAGGGGACCAATTCCCAGGTTCATTCCATTGCTCATTCCTTACCTATCGCACCAGCACGAAAACTCGGTTGCTTTCTGCTCCCCTGCAAAACGTTTAACTTTTAGGGGTTTAATACAGAAAACCCACTAGTTGGCCAAAAGATAACGTCCTAACATCCTTTGGCAAAATGCACCCGTATCCCATCCAGTGAACCATCCCACTGGTTGCCTTGAAGGGGGACCAGTTCCCAGGTTCATTCCTTACCTGTCGCAGCAGCCAGAAAACTGGGCTGAGCCTCAGATCCCCCGCTGATAGTTTGACTTTTAGTGGGTTAAATGGACACTAAACACTGAACACTAAACAGCTAAAAGGCTAAGGGGATGGCTGGGAGCCACCAAGAAAATCTCAGGCCCTTCTGGAACAAATCCCATCGAAGCCGCCACCATGAAGTCCCCCGGCGGGAGGGAGATGCCCACTGCCGTGCCCATGGGCCGCAGCATGTCGACCCCTGGCTGGCTTTTGGCTGGGTGCTCGTGAGTTCGCATTTGTTTGTGGAGATTCTGCGTTGGGATTTCTTGGGCTTCTGGCTTTGGTGGGTAGCTCTGGAATGTACATGTATACGTATACACATATATTATATGTGTGTACGTATCTGTGTGTCTATGGGTGTTCGCGTGTGTGTGCGTGTGTAGGGGCGGGTGGGAGGGCGGGCGGGCGGGCGGGCGGGATGGCGGGCGGGCGGGCGGGCGGGCGGGCGGGCGGGCGGGCGGGGCGGGGCGGGGCGGGCGGGCGGGCGGGCGGGCGGGCGGGCGGGCGGGTGAGTGGTGTGTATGTCTGTGTGTGTGTGTGTGTGCGTTTGTGGGTTTGTGGATGCTGTGGGTATGTGGTTTTTCAGGGTTTGGCTTTTGTCGGTATGTGGTTCTGGTGGGTGTGGTGTTGCGGGCAGGTGGTTTTGATGGGCTTGGTTTTTGGGTGTCCCTGTTGTTGTTGTAGGTATGTGGTTTTTGTGGGTTTGGTTTCGTGGGACACACACACACACACCTACCCTCAGGTGACCCGTCCAAGGGAAACCATATACTGGATGGAGAAACTCCTGCCACCAGCTGTCATGCGGTTGATGCCAGTGTTCATAGGGCTTTATCCATCCCGATTGCTGTGAAGGACCTTGTTGGACATGGTTCAAAAGGGCAACTGGAAACAACGGGTCCGCACGCCCTTGCACATGGACCCTTTGGTGCTTGGAGGGCGTCAGAAAACAAACAAACAAAACACGTATAGAAACTCACAAGCTCGATTGAACCTCTTCCTCGAACATCAACATGGAACCTTAAGATAGGGCCCCCTCCGAAGATTTCTCCCAAAGCGTATGCACCACAAGTCCAAGCACCGTGCCAAGCTCAAAGAGTCCAGCGCCCGAACGTCTCTCCCCCTACAACAAACTTTGCGAAACAAACTTCCCAAAAGCAAGCCTTGCTTTTGACGAAACACACTGGAGCTGCAAATCGAAAGTAATAAATTAACTGACCTTCACTTTGAACTTTGGGTGATGTCGCAACCCCCCTTTCCAGAAAGAGTTCATTCAAATCTTGGCCGCGCAGTCCAACTCCCAGGTACACCGCTACACATTTTGTCAGCCAAATGAAGACTCGTTTGGCGAGACCTCAGCAGCGGTTTAGACGTGGCTGGGCAACATAAAACCCACCCCCAGCAACCCGTGTGAACAACCCAAAGGTCTCCTGCTGGGTCCTCGCAAAACCAGGGACATTGAGGCACCCCTGATGTAAAAGAGAAACAACACCCCGGGTCTTTTAAGCAACCCATCTACCCCGAATTCCTGCGGCAGACCGTTTTCTACCACAGATGCCTGGGTGAAGGGTCTACAGGGGGGGGCCGCGACATCCTCATGGTGGCTGAAAAGGGGGAGTGTGGAGCCCAAATAAAACCCTTATTTTGAGGCAGTAAGTTGGCTTCTTTGGGCTCCCTCCCGTCTCCCTCCCTCCCCAGGCCCCATCCGACTTCATCTCAGGTTGCCTTGCCGGAACGCCGCCAGCACCGGTGCCAGGATCACGGTCCCATGCGCTCCCACTCCGTCCTGGACGGCTCTTCGGTGGATGTGAGTCTAGGTCCTCCAGTCAGAGAGGTTAGAATAAGGGTACCCTTTTTCTGTAGTCTATTTTCGTAGGGGAACCCTCCCCTACGAAAAAAAGAGAGTAAAAGGGCACGACTGGGGGACCTAGGAGTCTTTTCTGGATACCCACGGCTTTCAGACACGTCGCCGCGTCGTTGAACATGGGGCTATGGGTCTAAAAGGGCAATCACCCACAGCGTGCTGCTGGATTTTTTTGGAATGTGGGCAATGTGTCAGCCTTGATGTGCTTGGTTCACTTGAAAGAACACCCTTCCCCAAAGGAAGGCAGGCTGTGAAACACTTGAGGAGCGTTCAGCATAAAAGGCTCTGATTCAATTTCGGCCCCGAATGCCACACTGCAATTCTTCCATTTCATATCCTGGCTTTGTTCCCCGAATGGTAAAAATCGTGAGCTGTAACCTAGTTTCAAAGATCAATGTACTTGCTGGTGCAATAGGCAGGGAATGAGAAATGGAATGACCCTTATAAAATCCCATCCCCTATGGCTTCCTGCAAGGGAATCCCCACCCTTTCCTGAGCAACAGCAATGGGAACCCAAGCCTTCGAACTCGGGCCCCCCAAAGCGCAAAGACATGAGACTTCCCGCTTGGCAGGTGGGCCACATCCAGCCACCCTGACGCATCAAGATTTTACTGCAAGTCAGAGCGATTCCCGTGTTCCCCCTTGCAACACTGGCGGATGGGCGCAGTCCAGAAATCGCCACCACTTTCAAGCCATGGTTGAAACTCATTGCTACTTGGGGATCATCATGCCAAGGGGTCCTAGGTGGTGCAGGATTTACGTCCATAGTACCTCGGGCATCCACGTCCCCCATTGCCATACTCTCACTTGACTCGAGCTGGGCGTCGCAAGCTGCCTTCACCGCTGCCACGATGTCCTCGGAGCTCTTGCCTTGGATATCCTGGGCCAAACGAATCCGACCGGCGACAAGTTACCTTGGTCAGCGTTAAAACCCTAAACATATGCTATCTCTCGGTTGCTTTCTGCTCCCCTGGTAAAAGTTTAACATGTAGTGGTTTAATGGAAAACCCGTTAGTTGGCAAAAAAGTTAAAGTACTGCCAAGGGAAAAATGCACCAAAAGTTTGTTTCTGCATTCTAGCCCAGGGCAACAGATGCTACCAAAGGTCTGCCCTGCGGCTGCCCTGCAGACTAATGTAGAATCCAGCATGTCATCATTTCATAGAGGAAACTCCTTTTACCCATAATCGAGTCCGATTGTAATGTTCCATTTGCTTAAGTCCCCTAAGCAAAAACGAGAACTATGTCCAGTAGTGATAGATGCCCTTGCAAACCAACAGGGGGAAAGTAGCAAAAACATAATTTCTGCAAAAGGATGTAATTTGCACATGTGATTTGCTGGTTGAAAGGGAACACGGGGAAAAAAACAAAAGAAAAAAACAAAACAAAACAGTACACAGCTCAGCCTAAGTCTGGCGATGTGTCCACGTAGGCCTTGCACTTCAACACCTCCAGGGCATAGCTTCTCCTCACGACGACACAAAGCCCGTTGAGCTGCATATTTTTCCAAACAATTCCCAGCATCTCTACGCGTGGTATGGGCTGGCAAAAAACTGACTGGCTTTTTGCAGACCCCCGGTAAAAATGAACAGAACCAAAAAACTAAAGAGCCAAAAAACAGGCCAAGAACAGTGAAGCCAGGCCGTCTGATTCGGCGCAAAGGACCTCTATCATGCTCGTTCTACCCCATGAGCTCGCTATACAATAGGCAGAATAGATGCTTGGTTTGTGGTTCAACAATGTGTGTGCGTGTGACCCAACATGGAACCCTGATACATGGAAATATGGACTAAAACCTGCGGTCCATATCCTGGTGGACTCATTTTGACCCCATAGCCACACGTGTTTTTCAGGCCTCAGCCTGGTGTCTTTAGGCCCTCGATCGGACCCCAGAACAACCCGAGAGGCGCAAGAGGATCCGAAGCAAAATCCGCCCGGAACATATATATATATATATATACACCACCAGGACAAAAGTTGTGCCTCTTGGGCCTTCTCAGAAAAAGCAACCCTTTCCCCCTAGAATCCTGCAAGTTGTTGCTGGGTCATTCGCGGTCGAATTGTCACACTCCAAAGCCTTTAAAGTATCTTAAATCTAAAAGAGGGTGATAATTGACCGTCCCACTCCTGCCACATGAAAAGGAGTTGGAAATTCGATCCGCGGGTGATCCACACGGCTTTGCAGAAACCATCAAGAGGCATAAACTTTTGTCCTTCTGATGTATATATATATATATATATTCCCAGTAGTGATAGATTCCCTTTAAAACCAGCAAGGGAAAATAAAACATGTTCTCAAGCAAATAGATGCTATGGGGGAAAACAAAAGGCGGTTCACATTTTTTGGGGGCTGTAGCCCAAACACTTCCATCCCGCATGCAATTGGTAGCACAACTGCCAATTAATAGTCCGCGGGCCATGGACCGGAGACACAGAAAAGAGAGACCCAAGCGCCGTTCTTTCCGTAGGGCCAAGGTACCGGGCTCAAGGTCTGACCAAAACTTGCGACTGCGAGAGATGCAGGTCATGAGAAATGGAACCGCTATCACCCATTGCCTCTGGTTTCCTTGAAGGGAGTCCCCAAAACCGGTTCACTCCCACTGGGTCAGGCAGCAAAAAAAGCAGAGGCTCATTTGTTTGCTTGGGCACAACAGCTGGCTCAACCCCCCCCCCCCCCGAGAAAAAAAAAAAAAAACGCCCCCCCCCCCCCCACCCGCCAAAAAAATAAAATAATAAATAAACAATAAAGGGATACGTGCTTTCCGAGTCGGAGCGAATCGGTGGCCCAAGGATCTTGTCGCTGCCGAAGTCCACCGCACACACCTGGAGGGGGTTGGACCAGTTGTGTCTGGTGACCAGGCCTTTACTGAAACCAGGTGAAAATAAGGGATTCCCCTCGAATGGCCCTGTTTCTCTCTATTTGTTTGGGGCTGGAAACACGAGGGTGGGGAGTGGGGAGGGGTGGGGTCTGTTTTTGTGGGCATCCTTGTCAACGGGTGGGTCGACGTGTTGACCAAAATCAACAAAAAGCTGAGCAAGCGGATGGCTTGGAAACGCCAAGAGCACCAGCAGGAATTGAGAAACCAACTGGCGGCTTCCTTTAAGGGGACCTCTGGGTTCATTTGGTTCATTTCCCACCTATCCCCTCAGTCCCCTCAGTCCCGAACCACTTGGATGGTGTTGCTTGGGGTCATTCCTTTTCACATCTTGGTTGCTGTTGACCCCCCCGGCAAAAAGTTTGACTTTTTGAGGGGGTGTAGTTCGGAAAACCCAACTTGATTTCAACCGAAAAGTGAAAAAGTCTAAAGATCCGTTACCCAGTAGCGACCTATCATAACATGTCCCGACCTATCGCAGCGATCGCACGCCAAACTACAAAGCAGGATGAGAAAGAAGGAAGGTCCTCCCATTCCATTCTTCGGGAAATGGGGCTGAAAAAAAACACTCCCAGACCGCAAGGAGTTTAGGGAGAGCCTCCTTGAACAGAAATGGGTTTCCAGCAATCACCCCACCCACCCACCCCACCCACCCCACCCACCCCACCCACCCCACCCACCCCACCCACCCCACCCACCCACCCCACCCCACCCACCCACCCCACCCCACCCACCCCACCCACCCCACCCACCCACCACCTTACCCACCCCCCCCCCACCCCACCCACCCCCCCTCCCCCGTCTCTCCGTCTCTCCGTCTTGGGGGTGGGGATCTTTTTCGTTTTTTCTTCGGCCCGCCTTGAGGCCCATGGCCTGGGCGTACTGGCAGCCCACATGGCCCAGGCCCCCGCAGGCGCCCAGGATGGCCACCCACTGCCCCGGCTTGGCCTGGAGCCCAAGCCCTCCCCGCCCAAAAGAAGAATACCTAAATCAATCAAACAGAAACTAGATAGCAGTACTAAAAAATAGATTACAGTAAGCAGATAACAGTCAACAGTAACAAATAAATAATCAGGACACAAATCAGTAAATAGATAAGAGTACGGGTAAAAATAATAGTGATAGATAACACCATATCTAAAATAAGCCCAGATACTATCCCCAACAGCCCACGGAAGTGTCTGAAACCTTCCGGAACCCGCCCTGGAAGCTGCCCCAAAGCACCCCAGAGCCTATTTGGGCCTATGGACTCCATAGCTTTCAGCTGTTGAAAAAGAGAGTTCCTTGTGGTTTCCCTTAAAGCCACCTGCAAATAAAATGTAGCTTCAAAGAACAACAAACCAAAGTTCAGTGGATCCCAGTGGGTCGAAAGGCATCGTTGAACGATCATCGTTGTGTTTTGATTTGAAACCAAGGGGAAGCCGCAACCATGGTTGCGAAACCATGGTGGGAAGTAGGGTGAAGTGTCAGTTTGGTGCCAAAAATGTTTGACATCAGCCCATAGACAAAACCCAAACTGAGCAAACTGAAAAGTTGAGCAGGGGCCTTTGGAATATTGAAATACGCACAGCCCCAAGCCAAAACAACAACCAGCCAATTTTCTGATAGGCAAGCTAGGACAAGGTTTGGTGGGCCCTACCCTTTAAGTGGGTTCTGACCTAAGCCATCTGATGCCAGGTACCACTACAGCAGGTAACCAGCTATTTCGTTCTTTAGTTTTTGAAGCGCAGCCTTGGCTACCCATAGAGCCGGTGGAATCACCGGGCTAGTCAAATGGACATCGCTGCATACCCATGGCTGGATTTACATAAATGTACCACTTACTTGATCGCTAGCTTGCCAAATCACCATAGGAAATGCGCATGGGCAAGTGTTTGTTCACAAACCAAAGGTAAGGAATCCAAGTAAGGGACCTTTATCACGAGCTCGCTTTTCCCCGAGGTGAGCGTGTTCTAATTTGTGCACGTCAAAATCAACCAGGGGGCCACCCGAACCCGATACCCTGCTATTATTCTTGTCCGTTGCTCGGCCGGCGCCTTTTATATGAACAAGGAAGCCCCAGAAGTCTCATTTTGAACATCTCGGTGTGATCATCCAGGTCAATCATGTGGTTTCTGAAAAGATGGAGAAACACAAATAAGGGATCAGCCCTTCCTACCAGGAAATCCCCTTGTCATGTGCCATGCAAGCGCGAACCTTTGTGACAAACAACGCATGATGGCCGGTTCATACCCTTAAAAGCGGCCGCTTGTTGTCTGCTCAACTTAGTGACTTAGTGTGGGTACCCTTAATCATTCTCGAAAAGTGAACAGTGAGTTCCAGGCACATAAACAACACAATGCCAACGAGGTTGACTCCAATAACACCAACTTGATCAATCTAGATGGGGTTCCCTCAGAATTCAGAAGTCAGTCTTCCCCAAAGCCGAGCTTTCCACAATTGGCGGAAACGTCCTTTGCTGGTCTGAGGCAATGTTGTCACCTAACAACTCGCTCACTGTGGACAGGGCTTAGAACTGCTTAGCTTTTGTGAGAGCGATTGATTCATCCGCAGTGTCGGGAACGGGGCCCAATCCCCCTTTTCAGGGTGTGTTGATTGAGGTACCTTTTTGGGGCTGTTTTTAAGGGAGAAAATCAGAGCACCACCCATGTTTTCTGTCCCCCTGTTTTGACACCTGGGCCTCAAAATAGGATCTGGACCCTCCAATACATGTTGGCTTCCTTTGAATTTCCTTCGAAACCAGGCCCAACAAGGGCCAAGAAAAAAGCAAACCATATAGTTTATATTCATTACTAATCTTTACCAATACAATATTGTATCTGATAGAATAATATTGGAGAAGATTCCTGGGTCAATGGCATCCACCGGCAGTTTCCACCTCACGGTCTATCTCTTTGGGACACTAACCGCCTGTCTAACCTGCCGGAAATTCAAACGCAGCGAGGGGATGAGGGAGGAAAAGGGTGGGCATGTTTTCTTACGCTTTCTATCCCAAGTCCTCCAGTAGAGAGGTTACCCTTGTTTCCTTGTTTCTGTTAGTCCGTTTTAGTAGGGGAACCCTCCCCCAAACAAGTCCGCCGACATTGCTCGGCGTGTCGGACACCTAAGAGAGGACAGAGGATAACCCCCCCGCCTAACCCCCCCCCCGCCCGACGTCTATTACGTAGGTTTTTTTTTTTGGGGGGGGGCCCACGTACCGCGCGGCAATTTGATGACGTTCCACTAAACGCAGTCTTCGGGGAGCCGGTGTCGCAAAACAGGGGTCCCAGGCTCGATTCCCCCTGCCGGCTTTTTTGCTGGCTTGGGCTTCCTGCATCCTTTTGCCGAAAATCTGGCAAAACTCTGTGTTTTTGGACATCCTCTTTGCGAAAACGCGGGAAAAACCGTGTATTTTGCGGGAAATACTGGGGAGCAAAGGGGAAGTGCAAGGATACATACATACATACATACATACAGACATACATACAGACAAACAGACAGACCTATATACATGCATTACATACATACATACATTACATTACACTGCATTACATTACATTACATTACATTACATTACATCACATACATACATACATTACATTACATTACATTACTTTACATTACATTACATTACATACATACATACATACGTACATACATACATACATACAGACAGACGGACCCACATACATACATTACATACATACATACATACTTGACATTACATTGCATTACATTACATTACCTTACCTTACATTGCATTACATCACATTGCATTACATACATACATTACATACATTACATATTACATACATTACATACATACATACATACATACATACATACATACATACATACATACATACGTACGTACATACACATACATACATACATACATACATACATTACATACATACATACATACATTACATTACATTACATTACATTACATACATACATTACATTACATTACATTACATTACATTACATTACATACATACATACATACATACATTACATTGCATTACATTACATTACATTACATTACATACATACATACATACATACATACATACATACATTACATACATTACATACATTACATACATTACATACATACATACATACATACATACATACATACATACATACATACATACATACATACATACATACATACATACATACATACATACATACATACATACATACATACATACATACATACATACATACATACATACATACATACATACATACATACATACATACATACATACATACATACATACATACATACATACATACATACATACATACATACATACATACATACATACATACATACATACATACATACATACATACATACATACATACATACATACATACATACATACATACATACATACATACATACATACATACATACATACATACATACATACATACATACATTACATACATACATACATACATACATACATACATACATACATACATACATACATACATACATACATACATACATACATACATACATACATACATACATACATACATACATACATACATACATACATACATACATACATACATACATACATACATACATACATACATACATACATACATACATACATACATACATACATACATACATACATACATACATACATACATACATACATACATACATACATACATACATACATACATACATACATACATACATACATACATACATACATACATACATACATACATACATACATACATACATACATACATACATACATACATACATACATACATTACATACATACATACATACATACATACATACATACATACATACATACATACATACATACATACATACATACATACATACATACATACATACATACATACATACATACATACATACATACATACATACATACATACATACATACATACATACATACATACATACATACATACATACATACATACATACATACATACATACATACATACATACATACATACATACATACATACATACATACATACATACATACATACATACATACATACATACATACATACATACATACATACATACATACATACATACATACATACATACATACATACATACATACATACATACATACATACATACATACATACATACATACATACATACATACATACATACATACATACATACATACATACATACATACATACATACATACATACATACATACATACATACATACATACATACATACATGCATACATACATACATACATACATACATACATACATACATACATACATACATACATACATACATACATACATACATACATACATACATACATACATACATACATACATACATACATACATACATACATACATACATACATACATACATACATACATACATACATACATACATACATACATACATACATACATACATACATACATACATACATACATACATACATACATACATACATACATACATACATACATACATACATACATACATACATACATACATACATACATACATACATACATACATTACATACATACATACATACATACATACATACATACATACATACATACATACATACATACATACATACATACATACATACATACATACATACATACATACATACATACATACATACATACATACATACATACATACATACATACATACATACATACATACATACATACATACATACATACATACATACATACATACATACATACATACATACATACATACATACATACATACATACATACATACATACATACATACATACATACATACATACATACATACATACATACATACATACATACATACATACATTACATACATACATACATACATACATACATACATACATACATACATACATACATACATACATACATACATACATACATACATACATACATACATACATACATACATACATACATACATACATACATACATACATACATACATACATACATACATACATACATACATACATACATACATTACATTACATTACATTACATTACATTACATTACATTACATTACATTACATTACATTACATTACATACATACATTACATTACATTACATTACATTACATTACATTACATTACATTACATGCATACATTACATACATACATATATACATGCATGCATACATACATACATACGAGAGAGGGAGATTGGGGAGAGAGTGGCTTGGGGGGATGGGGAGCGGAGGGAGGGAGAGAGGACGACAGAACACACCAGGGAGACAAGGGAGAGAGGAAGCAGGAGAAAAGGGAGAGGACAATGTCGGCGGACTGAGCTGGAGGCTCTAAAGTTAGTAAAAGGGCACTACTGGGGACCTAGTAACGCAAATACCTCTTCTTCTTTTCTTTTTTCTTTTTTCTAAGGAGCCTTCTCCCCCCACCGAAACGAGCGAAACGAGTTGGCCCGCCATGTTCCACCGCTCTCGCCTCCGTCTCCTTGAGCGCCTTGTAGGTGGTCACCCCAGCGCACAGAATCGGCGCAGCCTGCGCGAAGCTCACGTTCTCCGGGATCTTCCCCACCTAGGCGGATCCCAGCGCATCGCGGATCACCCTTTTCTTGGCTAGAATTTGGACCCTGCAGCAAGACAAAGCATATTTGTTGCCTGGTTAGTGGAAAACAAAGGGACCCCAAAAAAGCAAAAAATCAAGAAGGGGAGCGAATTCTGGGGAAGTTTTGTGGTGGTTTCGGGGCTGTCCGTGTTCTGATCCCCGGCTAAAAGTGAGTTGAGCTCGCGAGCGAAATGCGCAAACCCAACCACCAAACCAACTAAAAATCTAGAAAGCCTAAGGGGGGGCGGCTGGGAACCACCAAGGTTTGTCTGATTGTAGTTGGCAACACTTGGCCACCACTTCCGAAGCTTGACCAAAGACCCCTCCCAAATTGTTCCTAGCTGCTTCAGAGCACCTCTTTGATGGTTTGGTGGTTCGGGGTGACGTCCCATTTTCCCAACGAGAACCAGGGGTTCCAATCTGCAAAACACCATCTAAAGACTAGCTGGTTGCTTAGGTTTAGTTTCGAAAGGCTTCAGATTAGTCCGAAGGAATATGTAGGGACCATCAAATGCCCAGTGGCCATGGGGCAAAAAGGGCATCCTTTCTTTTTTTGGTTGGTTGACTTTAAAGGGGAGCCTTCCCTAAAAAAGGAAAAAGGGCACCACTGGGCAACTGAGAGACCTGCTCACCGAAAGGACAATTTGACACATGGGATGAATTGCCCCATCCATCCCTCCCAAAAGAGACTCCAAATTGCAGCCCTCGACTGAGGCTCCAATGCTTCGTACCGAAGCCCGAGGGACAACTAATATCAACTAATGTTAACTCGCACTTCTGCGATATTGCAAGAGTTCCAGGGTAAACCGATGAACCCTGATCTAAATTATAAATCCAAAGTCGAGTGTTCCATGACTTTCCTGTACTTTCCTGAAGCCGATTTCTGCAGCCAGATAGAAGTACATTGAAAAAACAAAAATACGCTTGGCTTCCCTGTAAATAAAACACCCCAAAGGAGAAGAGAACTCCAACTATGTTTTTCCGCAAAGGCAGCATCCTCCTGTTCGCACGGCGGGGATGGATAGAACCCGAGAAAAAACGCAAATCCCAACCTAAGGTCGGATAAGACAAATATACGAAGACAAGCCTTAGTTGGTTGATTTTGTCATTCTTTTCCGCAAGCCTAAAACAAATATACAAGAGTACAAAGCAACACATTTTGCACGTGAGAGCCACGTAGTTGGCCTCTGCAATGGTGTACTCAGCAAAGCATCCGTTGGCAAAGAAGCCCGTCTGGTGCCTCAGCTTGGGGCATAAGACTTGGGCCTCTGAAGGCTCAATAGATCTCATGCGGACCTAGACATGGATTCTTCCCTGCGCTATCCTCAGGCTTGCAGCAGCGGCCTCCCCAGGATGACCTGTTCCCTGCGACTGCTTTGTCGCTTGAAGGATTCCATTGAAACCGAATAAAGCGGCAACGCGTCGCTTTCCAGCTTTCAACTATGCGCTACCGGGTTTCATTGAAATTCCTTGGGCCAAAATTTGTTGTACTTTGTCTAGGTGAAAAAAGGGCCTTCATCATGGAAAGGTCAAGGTTGCCAACCAAACTTTTTGAGATTGTGCTCATTCAAATGCACGAGTCTAGATGCTTTCGCTTGTCAACCCGATGGCTATGTCACCTTAGGGTTCTGGCTAGTGACACCCTGAAATAGGTATCAAAAGGACTTTGACCAAATTGACAATTTCCACCCCTTCCAGTTTCCCGTTGTGGGAAGTCAACCTTCATGTTCTATCTAGCCTGGCTCAAAGGACACTATTCATTGAAAGCAACAATTATATGACAATTGCCTCACCTCGCTCCCTCTGCCAGAGGACATGGACAAGTTGGCTCTATGCTTAGGGCTTTGTTTTCAGCTGCACTCATGTACTCGTGTTCTTGGCACGGGGGCTGGGGATCGGGGACTTCTAAGACATCCCCAAATCTCGGGCTCAGATCAACTTACCGGCGGGTTTCAGTGGCGCCTTTTCGGGGATCAGGGACATTGACATACATTGAGGCACACGCCCCCCTTCCTGCGCCCAACGGGGGGAACTCATCCATGGCTGTGGAAAACTACAACGTCAACTCCAAAGTGGGATTCTCAGTCCTGTGACTTTGGGATTTCATTGGGATTCTGGAAAATCGCCACAAGACATCGCACCACATGCTTCTCCTGAAGCCTGCTTTTCCAACCCTGAACGTGCTTTTGACCTGCAATTCACCGGTTGCTTCATGGGCCCCCTCAAAAACAAAAACCAAAAACCTGCAACTTCAACGGATTCGCGAAGGTGCTGGTTGCCGCAGACAGTCTCCCAGCCGGAGAGGCAGTAGTCGCATCCCCCGCAGGAGTCGTGGAGCCAGGCGTGGCCCACGCGGTCCCCGAGCTTCAAAGTGGTGACCCCAGGGCCCAACTTCCTCGGCGGATTTTTCGATGCTTTTTGTTGTCCCCTTTTTTTGTTTCTTGTTTAAACTGTTTTATTGTTTGTTTTTTTGTTGTTCTTTTTTTTCTTCGGGTGGCTGGCTGCAGATGGGTGTGAGTCAAAAACAAGGTGCCCAAAATGGATCCCTGGTAAATGGAAACATGGACTAAAACCTGCGGTACCATAGTGGTTTAATTTGGACCCATGCCCAGATTGGCAACGTGCCGTGCGTTGCCTTGGCAAGCCTTGGTTTGATGCCTGCAGAAAAGCTGTCCCCTTCTTTCGGCTTGAAAAGGGGTGCTTTCGGGGCTGTGATCACACATGTTAAATAAGTCACACGGAGTGGCAAGTAGCGAAGTGAATCGCACGCGATATCCGCACTTATGCTTGAACGCAGGTTTTGAAGCTAAGGGATCGTACAGAGAAACCAACAGGAAACCCGGCAACCCCCCAACTACTGGTCTTTCTGTCCAAAATCCCGTACGGCCCCAAAAAGCCGCGGTGGGGACACGGGTGCTGGTGCCTGTGTCCCATCAATGTTGAGAACCCACTTTGGAGACTTGCAGTTTGCAAAGGAATCATCTTTCCAGGGTTTCGTCGGTGCGAAAGGGATTTCGTCCATCCACACAGCAGGTCGACGCCTTTTGTAAGGACGGTTCTTTCTTTTCGTTTGTCTTGAAACCTACAAGCCAGGGTACCCTCAAACAATAACACACACACATGGACTTTGAACAGGCAAGGATACGAATGGCCAAACCCGATTGCCTCAACCTTTGCTACAAACATGTTCTCGTTACATTCGGGTCTGTGTTTGCCTGACCGGGACGACAAATCAATCTGTGGCAAAGGGAACAAAATCCGCTGCGATACCGGCGGACCATCCCCACGACTGATCCCGGTACCTTTGATATCACAGAAAAAAATGGTGCTAGGATTTTGTGGGCCAAGAGCGGGGGTGACCAGCTACTCATCTGGAAACCGAGTTGGGCCAAGCCTTAAAATCTGTAAACACCTGTTTCAACAAGAAAGGGGGATCAAGTTCGAGCACAGCCACTGGACTCAGGATGAGCTGGTGGTCGTGCTTGGGTTGGCTCAGGCTGGCTTAGGGCTTAGGGTTCCTTTTGAATCCTTTGGGTCCCTTTGTTTCATTCTTTGAGCCAATTTGTCCCAAGCAAGAAAAGCCGAAACCCTTGTCGGTAGTGGGAACAAGTAACATTGGATAGCCAAACAACACCGCCTTGAAAGCCAAAACTTGAGATGCCAGAGGAGAAAGCAAATTGCTCGCATGACAGGAACAAGTGGACAAACTGAGATGCCCAGTGGACATGGGCAAAAATGGGCATCCTGTTGTGAATGGTTGACTTTCAAGGGGAAACCTTCCCCCCGAAAAAAAAATGGGGAAAAAAACAGATGCAACCTGTTGGGCAACTGTGCAAACATTCCGCGTGAGAAAACAAAACAAAAAACGCCTTGCTCCGAGCCTCACCACGACCCCTGCCCCTTCGTGGCCCGGGATGATGGGCAGCGTGGGCTTCACGTGCCAGTCACCGTCCCGCACCTCCGAAATCGCGCGACTCAGCTTCCCTCGTGGGGAAGTTTGGAGCCTGGTGGTTTCGGTGGTTTGCTGCTTAGAGGAGAGGGGGGGTTCTAATTTAGGATTGGTTTGAAGGGAAACCGCAAGGAAAACAACTCAAAGATGGGGTCCATACGGACGGGTGTATTAAGCAATATGCAACTAAATGTCTGCACCGGCTACCTAAGATATCGCCAGCCTGGACCATTTCCCCCCAGAGCAATTGTCCGATCTTTGGGGATTCAGTCAAATGATGGGAACAAACAAAAACTTGTAACGTGGGCAAACAATCTCCAACTGCAGATGTTGAAACACGGCACATGTGGACGTCTTCTTCTACCTCTTGCCACTCTTCCCAACGAACAATGACGTCAGGACGTTGCAACCCTACCCCCCCCCCCCACAAACAAAACAAACAACTATTTAACACAAACAAACACCAACACTCAAGGCTTTATCTAGGCCTCGTCAGTTGCGGGATCTTTGGGGGGCCTTGAAGGTAGAGTTTCTGAACATGGTCACGGTTGGGCCAACCCCTGTTACATGTTTAAACACCCCATGGGTCGAACTCAGTAGGGGGGAGCCTTGAGAAACCCACTCCCATAAATAACCTCATGCATCGCAGATCAAAAACTTAACAGGGTGGGCACACACACACAGGGACGCCACACGCGGCGCGTCGTACGCAAGCACCCCCAACTACTGCTGTTTGGACAGCTGGAATTTTGGATATGGTTGAAAACCCGCCCCTGCGCGTTTTTGTTTGGCCTTGGTTTTCCCCCTGACCCCAAGCCAAAAACAAAACACACACCAGCCGCAGCCGAACCGAGCCGGTTCAAAGAGATCCGTGGCGCGTGGAGATCCGTGTGGCAGACCCCAGAGGCGATGACTTTGACCAAGACCTCCCCGTGGCCGGGCTCCGGCACCGGGACCTGCTTCACCACCAGCGGCTGGCCGAACTCCTCCACCACCGCCGCCTTCCTCGAGACGCGGCGAAGGCAAGCGCCGCGGGCGACGAAGCGCCCGAAGCGGAAGCGCACGGGCCAAATGGCTGTGGGTCATAACGAATGGTAGCCTTTTTGGTTGGAAGGTGAATTCACCACCCAGAATAGAACCTATTTTAGTGGGGATTGGGATGTTCACTGGGGGTTCGGGATTTTGACCCATGGCCAAATGGCTGGCTGGTGCGATAGCTAGGGAATAACGGAATGCAAGTCCAGGTGGTTGAAGGAAGCCAGTTTTGGTCGGATTCCGAAGAAAGGAAATCGCCAGTTGGATGGTTGATGGGGTCATTCCAACTCATTTCCTGTTGACGAAGAGCCCAAATGGTGAAAACAAGAAAGAAGGACAGGAACAAAACCAAGCCAAAGACACAAGACATTCCATGGTTGATTTTTCCAAAGGGGTCTTGGGAGCTTCCATGTTAGTCTGAGAGGGTAAACCCCACTTCAATCCACCAATGCGTCTTCTGGGTGAAGCCGAGGCGAGCTTCATCGTGTCAGGCACACACACCGACATTGGCTCGCCGGTCTCCAGCTTCCTCTTGGTCCCGTGCTGTGCCATGGCCCTCTTCGATTTTGAGACAAAATGCCTGAAGCGAGCTTCCTGCAGTTCCTCACTTCGGTAGGTTGAACTTGTTTGACAGATTTCTGGACAGGCAACCCGCTCGAGTCGCTGTAGCAACTCCTGGCATTGAACAATGTTTTAAGGGTTGACCATTGAAATGGTCTTCATTCCCAAAAGGTTCAAATCAAAACCCGGAAAGTCGGGGAGCAAGCAACAGTTTCCCACCAGAGGGCCCTTTCCGGGTGCCATGTGTTGGGGAAGCAAGGGAGCCCCATGTTTGTCCATATGTTTCTGCCTGCCCACAAGGCTGGAAGCGAAAAGAGCGCCTGGACAAACAAAGCAAACAAACAAGGCGTGAACTTGCAACACGCTACAAGGAACTTAGAAAGTGAACAACAACGCAGCAAACACACGAGAAAGGGCACACCGAAACCACAACAACTGACACATCGATACAATGCAATACAACACCACGGCAGAGACCAACAAAACACATGAACGATACCACTGAACTCAACCAAACACAATTCCAAACAATCACAAAAACACATGCAATGACGCGCAACTTCGCGCTAGTCTCTGGGTGCAGCCTAAATAATTAGAGAGCTTCTGCTTGTCTCACTTCACGAGTGGGTTGGCCAAAAAGTCCGAATGGTCTTCTCGAACAGTACAACCAGGAATTCAGGAAGTGAGTTGCTTCCAGAAGTCAGTTTGGAGTCCGCAAAACAACATCATTGAACGACACTTCCGGCGGCTCGCTGGCTCCTTACCATCATGAGCGCATCACTCCGCTCCCCCAAATCCGAATGGAGCGTCGCTCCAAGTTGGCGAGCAAATGTTCTGGCTTCAACCACGGCTCTGCGGAAGGCAAGCCGGGATACCTAGGAGGACTCAAGTGACGTGGCAACTACCAAAGACATGAACTTGAACCCCGCGAGTCTCGAACTGGGAAATGTACATCTCACATCACACTGGCCAAGAAGTCCATACTCGTTGATTGCCATTAACAGGTTCTGCCCGAAAAGTGCAAAAAAATGAAGCACTCTCCCGAACGAGTTTCTCTTCCCCTCTTCCATCTTCACCTTTTGGGGGTCTCGCTAGCGGGGATGGGGGTCCCCCACTACAGAAGGAAAATAGCCTTTCGTTTGGGGATCATGGCAACGCCCAAAAAATGGTGGGTTTCCTTATGGCTTCCTTGAAAGAAAAAAAGCAAACACCAAAAAGGGAACCCTAAAAAATGGAGCAACCCAAAAGGAATTCCCGGGCCCTTTCCCTAACTCCATTTTGCGGAGGTTGCGGGATGACCAATTTTTCAATCTTCAAATCGAGCAGTTCGCTTTGGGAAGCTTTCGGCCTGCTTTGGCTGCTCGTTGGCCAGGCGCAGGTCCTGGTGCTATCATCGGTATCTAAAGCTCACTTGCCCAAAGGGCCTGGAAATAAAAGGGAAGTAAACAAACATTGAAATGACATAAACATTAATGATCATAATACATATATGACAATAATAACAATAACAATAAACAACAAACAAGACAAAATGCACTTCCGTACGAAGACCTCCAGAAACTCTCACCCTGCTGAAGGGACCTTGACTACATATGGACCAAACAGGAAACCAAAAGGTCGAAACAGGCAACTGAGAAAGGCTTTGTAGCAAAGTACCAAGGGTGAGGTGGCCCTGACTATCATCGACTTTGGGGACCCTTTGACCACGTCGGCAGAAAAGGGACATATGATCCATGCCCTGACAGCAACTAAGTCGAGCCGATTTTCAGGACTCGGTTCAGAAACCATAGGTTCTAAGGAAAGGTACAAAAAAAAACAAAACCCCCCCCCCAAAAAAAAAAAAAACACATCAAGGCGATGGACAAGCGAAGGCCGTTCAGGCCTCAGGGCATGGAACCCTGGCTGGGGTGGAACGGTCTGTCCCGACTCGGAATGGGACTAGTTCCTATGGGTCTTACGACTGGCGCCTTGAGTGGATTTTGGCCCGGGCTTGTGGGATCTTGTGGTGGCTACTGTGGGATCCTGAAAGGCCCTCGAAACTCGGCGCTCAACAATCACCATACCTCAGAGGGTGCCACGGACATGATGTCAAAATCGGCGGACAGAATGTGCGATTTTCCTAGCTAAAACCCGGTTTCTGAAACCAAGGTCCCGAAAAAAACCGAGACACAGACCAAGACACAACACACACAGACGCGGCATCTCGCGGCGTCGGCATCGCGTTCGCGACGGCTCCTGTAAACTCCGGCTTCGGCTTCGGCTTGGGCTTGGGAAGGGCGGCCCAGGCCTCCGCGACGATCCGGGACCTAAGCGCAAGCCGCTCCGGCTCCAACCCTTCCATCTAGCATTGGGCGTGATTTTTTGGGGACCCCAAGATGGGTCAAAATGGGGTCTCACAAAGTGACCAACCAACCGTTCGATTTTGCTGGCATGGTGGCTTTGTGGGACCACAAAAGGAGGGAACCCCCAACTCAGGCTGTCGGTTTCCCTCTCAAGGCCACCAAAAAGTAGCAGCCCTACAAAATGAGACACTCGAACTTGGTCTTGAGAAGGGACCTAGGATTCACCCTACCCCGCCCTCCCCCTGCTTCATCGAAATAAGCATTTGAATGGCACACAAAGGGAGAGGCAAGCCTTCTTTTTCTTCCGGCTGCGCTGTTCGGGTCTTTTATTGTGGGGTGGGGAAGGGGGAGGGGATTTTGAACATTTGGAAACTTTGAAACTAGGGAAGATGTGGGAAGGGGCTATGAAACAGGGGATCACATTTAATCGACCACCCCCGTCCATCTCACTCTAGCGCGATTTGCGGGAAAGACTCATTTCCGGGTGGTTCATCCTGCCACGAGTTAAGCACCTACCCACGTTTGAACTCCTCCTTCTGATTTTCTTTCAAGGGGAACAGGTCCTGGGAGCAGATGTTGAAATCCTGGATCTGTTCGCATTGAAAAGCAAGTTGCCAGTCGCCACAATTCGGTCCATGGTTGATCCAAATGGGTTGCAACCTCAGGGACTAAGGGATAGTAATGAACCCCACTTTCCCGACGTCCACTTACATTGGTCCACGTCAGTAAGACATAGCAAGACGTCCTCGAAATACCGAGCTGGATTGATTTGATCGCCCACCCCAAACATAAGTTTTATGAACCTCAAAATGTGACCGATACAAAGGACCCAGATTTCCCACCCAACCATTGGGCAGATGCCGGTTGCAACTACCCTGAGTAGGGAACCCTTGTTGGTCGGAGAGCAGTTTTTGCGAACCCACCAAACCTTCCTGCCTCTACCCGTGACATGGCTCATGGCAAAAGGCAAAAGGGCACCCGAACTGAACTTCGGGTGCAAAAGCAACCCTCTTCCTAGAGCCTTAGGGGATTCCTGTGAGGATGTCCCCAAATGAAACTTGCGGAAGCGAGGCACTCGCCCTTCTTGAAAGGGCTTCGGTTCCCATGATCATTTTGCTCAAAGACGCTGGCATAGAAAAGTTGGGGCCCTTCAGCACAACAAAAGGACAAAGCGACCCAATACCGACTTTCCATCTACTCATGGCTTGGTCATTGCTTTGCGGTTCGGAGCAACCCTGATCAACATGACACCTCTGTACTTCCCGGGTGCGCTGCATGCTGCTTGGATTGGCACGTGCTTCCGCCTAAGGCGGGCTTGTTGCAAGCGGACCCTTTCCAAACCTCCGACCAACTAACCCAGTGTCTTTGCCTTTTGGATTCCCGTGCCCAACGGTGACGTCCCCTCACCTACCATGGAAGTTACCATTTGGAGGGTAGACTCGGAAATCAAGGGTTATCCCTTTGGGGCCTTGGCTAAACATGAGAGATCCGCTGAATTTGAGCAAGGACAAATAGATGCAACTGCCTGAGCAACTAACGAAACTCACAACTCACAAATCAGGTCTTTCCCCGCTGGTACTTGTTGTGCGTTGTGGTACTTGTCCCTGCTTCTGCGGCGCCTAAGGTGTTTGATATATCCAAATACACTAGAAACCAAAACCGCAAAACTTCAGCCTTGGGAGAATGAGACATGGGACCTGGTCGAAACCATGGATCACATTTCGCTTTCAGTGCAACAGGGCAACCTGAAACCGGAACGACTCCAAGAAAATCCAAGAAACGTCGCAACCTACGCTGGGCCGCTTTGGGAAATGGGTGTGCTTTCGGAGTTTACCCCAAGGGAAACCGCCATTGCGGAAATCCGCATAGAAACCGCCTTCCCATTCCATCAAGAACCCTCAGAGTTCTTGCTTTTGAACAGCTACCAGAAACAGTTCCAACAGTTGCAGATAGGGGTTGCAACATATTGTCATGCCCACATGGAACCTGGTGGCCCTAACATGGGGCATGGCAGGCTCCCTGGAATTGCTTCACGCTCAACTTGATCTAAATCTAAGTTCCTTGCTTAGTGCTGGCAGTCTGCAGTGCAAGTGCTTTCCGAAGCGCGGCTTCTAAAACTTGCAGCAGGGGGTAAGACGATAAAAAGGCACCCCCGGCGGATTCCTAGATATCCCCAAGAAAACCAAAATAAACCCGTGCTTTAGCTGCTTTACTCTAATAAAGCACGCAAATCACCATGGTCAGCCCCTGCTCGTGATGCGGAAAGGGACTCGAGAAACTGACTGTACCCTGCGTTCACCATTCCATCCGTGGCAGGTGGCTCTTCCCGACCTTCCAAAGTAGACATTCCGGAGGGATGAAATCATGGCAGCTGCTTGGAAACCCAAAACGAGTCCGCCCAAAAAAAATGTCCGACCCCGTAACCAACAAACTTCCGACCCCCGGTTCATTTGGTGCAGACACCAATATGTATGCATATAGATGTACATATATGTGTGCATCTGTTTTCGGGCAGTTGGTGCCCCTTTGGCTTCCCCTTAAAAACCAAACCCAAAAAGCGTGCCCACAAAAGAATCGACATGCCCAAATGTGCGAGGTCCATTCATTTCTACCGCTCGCTGGCTGAGTGGATGGCCCAAAAAAAGTCCAAACTTTATATTTACCACTAAAATGGTCTTCACCAAAAGTTTAAAGTTCATGAACTCAGCAAGTGAGACCCTCCAAACGCCCAAGAACCGAACCTTCAGTTCAGAAGCCGCGCCTCTGCCGCGATGTCGTCCATCCAGCTGTCTGGTCGGCCTTCGGTCGAACAGGGTTCCAAGGATATAGCTGTGGCGAGCTCGCTGGGGAAGGGGGTGGGGGTGGGGTGGGGGGGGTAAAAGGCGCTCACCAGTCCTTCACTTGGGGATTTGCTTCAGATGGGAATAGTTCGTAATTGAAGACTCCAAAAGTCACCTGGCTTACACAAGTTAGTGATGTTTCTACTGGCTCTTGACGAGCCTTCCTTCTGCAAACCCTTCTGCCCCACCACTGGCAGCCCGGGTTTACCTGTTGACGCAATAAGACGCCACTCAGACTCACCAACATGACCTGGGAGCATACACAAAAGCACCCTCAATGGGGTTGAAAACCACTCGATCCGCTGGATCTTAAGCCAAATTCTGAATATCCATCTGATGGAACCTTTGGCCGACCCGGCTTGTCCGAACCAGGCAAAATGAAGCTCACTGCTCCAAAGGCTACCCCCTCAAAGCTACGGACAACAACCCTTTTCCTAGGTCCCCCCGTAAGACTCAGTAGAGAGGTTAGAATAAGAATATCATTTTTTCTGTAGTCTACTTTAGTAAGGGAACCCTTCCCCAAAAAAGAAACGGTAAAAAACGGTCTGTCTTCGTACCCATTTGTTGGTTTACAAGGAAGCCTGGTCTGTCTGTATTTTGTTGGGGGATACATTTGTTGATGTTAAAAAGGACGCCAAAAGGAAACCATTACAAGGCATCCCCTTAAAAAAGACAGATCCACATTTTGTAAACGTGGTGCAACGCAATCTCAAGACATCCCAGCAACTGCTGACAAACACATTGCATCGTCCTGAGCCCTTGGCCCGTGTCCGTACCTCAGTCGAGGCCATCAAATGCCTTGCTGCAGAACAGGTCTCCAAATTGCCAGAAACGGCCCCTACCACCTTCCAACACCCAGCTCCAGTTTGGTGTGCTTCTTGTCTTTCCAAGGGTGTGTGTGCTTGGGGCGTGCGTGTGGGGGTGTGCAAGTAGACAAGGACGCTCTAAGACTAAATCATCATTCCAAACCCTATATTAAAAATCGCATCAACTATCCTTCATGGCGAAGCCTGCGCATTCCCTGACCGACTGAAACTAAACCTTTTCCGTGGACATGAAGGAGATCCTTGCTGACTGCAAACCCGAGGCTCGGTGAAACGAAGCCAGAGGAAACCAACTCCTAGGCTGAAGGGGAACCTGTCGGCTTCGTCGGGTATCGAGCCAAGCGCACTCTCCAAGTCCTGGTGAGACTCGAAACGGCAGAAGTCGTCGTCGTCCTGTGAGCCGACTCATGCGCCCGGGAAAAAGAAGACCAGTGTGGATATACACATATTTACACATACACATATTGGTTGTATAGTGGTTGTAGGTTGCTTATGTAGTGGTTACATAGTGGCTGTAGACAGCTAATATAACCAGGCTATAGTGGTATGCCCTCTACGATGTGGTTACATAGTGGTTGTAGACCTTGGAGGCTCGGAGAACTGCAACTTCTACAGTTCACAACGAATCGGATCCTCGAAAAAAGGACCTTCATGGTGAGCTCGTGGTTGCCCCGATCGCTGAGCTCGCCCAATTGAGATTGCAGTCTTAGAGCAATCAGGGACTATGAACGAGTGTCTATGGCCTTTGCAACCTTGCCCATTCAGGTGTCTTTTCAGGTTCCCCCCCAAAAGATTGTGGTTCCGTTTCGTTTCAAATATCAAACCAGCCCCCCCACCCCCCCCCCCAAACACAAAACATAGCTTTCCCTTCAATTTCCGGACGCTCCCCTTTGTGTATGCCCCATGCGCGTGCTGCAGCTCCTGACCCATGTGCTCGAAGAGCTGGCGACGCCTCAGCTCGAGGGTGTGGGAACGAAGGCCATGTCGCCAGATTCACCGTCCGCATCCCAAAAATAGCGATCCCTTGGCGGAAACGATGGTGGAGAAGAGGCACCGCGTCCAGGTTTATAGGCACCCCCCGAAAATAAAGAAGCATAAGCCAAACAAAAACATGGCTGAGGGTCAAAACCCTGGTACCCCCTACCCCCCAGATTCCCTTGTGCAAAACAAAAGGGCCCACACTCACATATTGAGCTGTAGCTTTGAGAGCATGTGTTTTTTTCAGAGCCGCATCTGGGTGCTGAACAGCCAATATGTGTTTTTTCTCCAAACCACCTAGTTAGCACCCGGAAATGTAAGGGGCCCAGTAGAAACGCAACAGCCTGCACTTCTGGTTTCACCGATCTGTTGCGACGCATCGCGTCTTCGGCCGGAAGTGCGCTTTGACTGGGTTGCTACCCCTGACTGAGCCTTCAGGTTATTCCCCGCCCAATTCATTTAAGAAGTTGCTCAAGTTCCCTGGAAAACCACACATATGTCCAGGAGTGATAGATTCTCTTTGAAACCAACAAGGGGAAATCACAAAACAAAGCAAGTGGACGCCAACCAAACAACACAAAGCAAACAAGACAAACGACAAACAGGTGGCCCCAGAACCCTGACCCGAACCCCAGCGCGGAGTCGCTCCAACTATTCCGGAGCCTATCTCAAACCCAAAGCCTTCCTCAACAAGTTGAACAGTTGGGTATGTGTGAAAATCGGGGCCCGACAAGTTGCGCTTTCCTTTTGGTTCTCCTTTCCACCACCCCCAAAAAGGGTAGCCGCAAACAAAACCAACCGGAGGAAAACTGCCCCAACGCACCACTGAGCAGTGGGCCAATCTGCTTCCTCTCGCTTCCGCCGTGCCGCAGCTACTGCCGCCAGCAGCTTTTCCTGGGCGTTCGAGAAGCTGGCCACAGATATGGGCTCTCTCCAAAATTAAAGGTGCCAAAAAACACCTTCTCCATACCTCTTGCCCCCCAACCCATCTGCTGACTAGGTACCCAAAATGGCGTGCCCTGGTCCCAGTTCGGCTGGCACTCCATACTTCGTGTCCGAAACGTCACACATCCTGACATGGCCAGGAGGCCATGGGTCAAAATCCAAATCGGTTAGCCACAGTGAACATCCGATTCAATCCCCGCTAAAATAGGTTCTAAAATGGGTCGTGAATTCACCTACCCCAAAATGGGATCCCATTGGTTTTGAGCCACAGCCATATATGAGCTCTCTCCGAAATCAAAGGTGCAACAATGGAATATCCCTGGAGGCTTCGTTTTACAGTACCGCCTTCCTTTTACAGGGTTTTTCCGCCTGTTCCACCTAATTTCATGTCCTTGAGGCGGAGAACTTTGGGGATCCCTCGTAAAACCAAAAAACTGCTTCATACCTCTTAACCCATCTACTGAGTCTGGCCCACAATGTGGATGGATGAATCCTGCACCACTTGGAAACCATGATGAACTATTGTTTGTCGGTATTTACAGGGGAGACGAATCATTCTAAGGTTTGTTAGGTGGTGCGAAATGGATTTTGTCCATCCACTGTATTTCGTGCATAGAGATGCCATATATCCCAGACAGCTCCCAAAAGCTCCCCGGCCAATCTTCTTGGATCTCGGATTTTGGGGCTTGCTGCGGGTTCACTCCGAGGATCGCAATCCCCGTGAGCTTTCTTCTTTGACTGTGGGACCGATTCCCTGAACGGTTCAATGTGTTCAGTTTTGGGAGGGTCATGCCAATGTGTCGAGCCATGAGCGAACCGACAGATCGCCCGCCCACCGCAAAACACGTCATTCCGCGGCCTCCTGAAAGGCCTGTCGGCACAGCTCGTCCCTTTCAGCCTCTTTCAGGAGACCTTGGCAGCCGGACTCTGGTATCCCTTCATTCATCTCACTGGCCCTGTTCGGATCTGAGAATAAGAGGTTCAACCAACATGGGTTGGGGTTGCTGTTTTCTTTAAGGATCCAGTTGTTTTTCTTGTTTGGGAGCTGTAGAAGTTGCAGTTGCGATAGGCATGCTTCGAGTATACAACCACCATATATGATCAGGTTCCCCTGAATTGGTGGTTTGTTTGAACCCCTGGTTCTCGTAGAGAGTAAATGGGAAACCACCCCTGAACCACCAAACCATCCATCCAAACCACCAACTAGTGGGAAGCTGAATGACGGGGAACCCTAAAGACCGCCTAAACGTAAAAACACCAATGTTGCTTGCCCTGAAGTTCTGAAATGCTGGGAAGGCTTGAACGGAGAAGACCATCCGCAAACAGCTAGCGAACACAATTATGCATGAACATCATCTCAACCAAAAGGGCTGAACATTGAACCCGGTTTTTCCAACCACAAAACATCACACCAAAAGCAAGCCAACTGCTCAACATTGCACCGCCCACCAGCAAGGCCCAAGAGGAGTGCGTCGAGCTCAATGCTGGGGACTTCATGATTTGCGGGGCCCCATCCTTTCATTGGCTGAGGCGCTGCTCGAACGCAACACGTTTTGTTTATCAGTCATGACCATTTCGCTCCCAACGAACACTGGCGCATAGGAAATCATCAAAATGAACCTGAAGAATCATGTCAAGCCCGAGCAATATAACTCCCACCCAGCTGAAGGGATTCCCTGGGAGAAAGTAATCCACAGTTCAGTTGCCCTCGTTCAAGAACGGTAAATTATTTCCTAGCCAGGGGTCGACACATTTGACGACACTTTCGGAATCAAACAAAAGCGGCCCGAACCAAAACGCGACACGCTACTATCCCATTTGGTGCAGCAGAAATGACATAACATATACCCTGTTTAGCCTTAACGGATACATCCCACATGCACCAGCACCGGCCTCAATCGCGTGAAGACCCAGAGGATGGCCCCACAATTGGCTGGGCAGTGCAAAGATGAACTGCCAGCTTCCAAGCACGTCTATTGCTCTCTCTCATGGCGTTGTACAAAAAATAAAACTTCGTCAGATAGAAAGTGTTCTGCCGGTCTGCCTCCGCGAATTGTACGCCAACGGGCCTATGATTGATCGGCAATGGATGGGCTTTCGAGGCCCCAAAGGTTCCAACCCATTCGACCGAAGGTTCGCCAATCTCAAAGGCACCTGATACGCACCTTTAACCCCCCTGGGAGGTTTTCGAGAAACAAAAAACCCAAGCCTGGGTGGTGTTCGGACAAAACAAAAGCCAAGCCTGGGAGGTTTTCGGAAAAAAAAAAGAAAAAAAAAAGAGAAAGAAAGCCAAGTTTGGCTCCTAGGCACCTTTGGGTGACGAGAGACGCCCGGCCGAGATGTCCAGTTTCATAGCCTACATCGAGCGCCCGCGCCATCTAAGTCCAAGGCTTCCGGAGACTCCCCTGGCGACTTGACTTCTGGCTGGCTGAAATCCGTCTGAGTGCGTTTGCGCGTTCGCGTGTCTGTGTGTTCGTGTGCTCTTTTGTTTCTGTCTCTCCGTCTCTGTCTCTGGCTTTTCGGCTCCCCGAAAAGGAAACCAGACCCTGTCGGCTGCTTTGACTGGAAGCAGGGCATCGCCTGCCTTCTGCGTCACAGGCGCCAGGGTCTGCCAAGGCCTGCGCGCCAACTGCGCAAGGCAAAGGGCTGGGTCGGTGCGGTGGTTTTTCTTGGGCGCCCCCTTGTTGAAGGTAGTCCCCTGTCTGTTTTGCCCCTAATCGATAGGCGTGCTTGCAAAAGTGATTTAAGCAAGGCCCGATTCAGCCCCTTTCAAAGACAATCAAAAGGAGCTTGGTTGAACAATGGCTTAAGATGCTGAAGCATGTTTGAAACAAGGGGGTGGCCCGTACCCGCTGGAATCACCCTTCTACTTGAGTGCATAAACGGGCCAAGAAGCATGCTACTAAGTGTTGGCCCAACACCCGAAACCGCACCATCAGGTCACCAAACCCCGCCTCCACGAGGCGCATGGCCACGCAGCCGCGGCACAATCGCCTGGGCGAGTCGTTTTTTGGTTCACCACAAATGATGGGCGGCCCTCTCGGTTTCTAGGTCCTCCAATAGAGAGGATAGATTAAGGCAACCTTTTATTTTTCTGTAGTCTGTTTTAGTGGAACCCTCCCCCGAAAAAGGGCACTACTGGGGGACCTAGCCATAAAAACCAACCAAAACCAGGCGTACCAACTCCAAAAAAGGATACCAAAATGGTGGGCCTGCCCTTCAAAGGGAGAACCCTCAACAAAAAGGGTCCACACCCGTTTGCCATTGAAGGCCCATAGGTGAGTCTTCCCTGTATGGGTGATGTTTCCTTGGGACATATGGGTGTTTGCTTGATTGGGCGCGCCCTTTGGGAGGGCTGGTTGAAACCCCGGAACGCGTGGTCAAAAGGTACCGAGCTTCGCATCTTGCACACTGCTCCGCCTTCAGTCCTTCCGGCTTCCCAGTCCCAGATCCCACGGAGGATCTCAAGCTCAAGCTGCAAAAGTCCCAGGACTCACTTGAAATGGTCAGTCAAAACATGCTGCAAATGTCTACTCGAGCTGGGAAAGTGACGTTTTGTTCCATTTTGTGGGCCTCCCTTACTTGAAAGTCATTTACTCTTGTGCTGGAAATTGATTTTGAGGCCCTAACATCATTGTGTCTTCAAGCGCCTTGACGGCTTTCATGTGGAAAGAAGGGGTTGTCACAGAACTGGTTCTCGAATACCCGAAATATATCCGCAAAGGAGTCCTGTGTCAAAGATTCTTCGCCGCTACTTGCCGATGCTACAATCATCAAAACCAAGAGAAACTTCATTGACGTTGGAAGGGGAGCAAAAACTTGAATCTTAGCAGGTAAGTGGGGAGTTCCCACTAAACCCCAATAAGCAAAAATGTAAAATGTTTCCCAACGACAACCACGAAAAGGGCGGCGATATGCGGAGAAAGCCTTGCGATACCTGGAGGTACTTATCACAGGCCCTGAGCCCCCCTATTTTCCACCATGTGCTGCAGAGGACAGCACAGGCAGCAAAAAGCTCATGCTTTAACCTTGAGATGCCCAAACTTCGCACAGTCGATCTGAAAGCATGTACGGATTTGCAAGCGCCCGAATCGAATTGGGGTTGAGACTGTCCCCTAACCTCCAACTATCAAGCACCAACCTATTTAGAGGCTAAGAGGAACGATTTGATGAATCTGCATGTCTCAGAGTAAGGGAACCCAGCGTGGGGAAGCAAACACCTGGGTTTCACAAGTTTGAGCCCTAGACAAATTCATAAAACCCCAACCGGGACGGAGCCGCAAAAAACAACAACAGAAGTATCCCGGATATCCCCAAGTTGGACTTAACGAAGGGACTTGTACTCTAGACATTCGCCATTGAACATGGCCCGAAAGCTATGGGTCGATAGGCGCAAATTCGCCCCCAAACAAGTGGCTTGGAGCGGATTTTCATCCGGGGTCTTTTGGGGTGGCTGTTGGCGATGCCACATGCGCTTTATTTGCTGGCAAGGGGAAGGCCAGGAAAACCCAAAAGGCAAAATATCAAAAGGCAACCAAAGTCTAGTGGAAACCTTGAAGTAGACCAAAGTCGCAAAACAATGTCAAAAGACACCCAAAAGATCCCAAAACTTTGAATTCTCATGCATTTCCATCTTTGTCCAGTGACCCACGATAGAAGCAAACTGGCACCCACGAAGCAAAAAGGGATGAGGGTGGAATCTGAACACGGCTGCAGGGCCCAAGTGAGCTTCACATGGCTTTGTTTTTGAACGGCCACAACATGAAAACCACCATCTACTAGGTCCTCCCAGAGAGAGGTTAGCGTACGGGTACCCTTTTTTCCGTAGTCTATTTTAGTAGGCCAAAAAACGGGGAGAAAAGGGCTACTAGACAAGAAAAGCACCATTTACCAAGGAACAAGCCGCTTCCAGAGGGCGGGAAGCCGCACGTGGCTTTTTGTGGTTTCACTTTAAACCACCTCTTAGATCGAGGCGTTATAGGGTAGTTTTGAGGATGTCCATCCGCGCCATGCGTCCCGAAGA